GGGTCAGCGGGTCCATGCAGAACGGCAAGCACTGCCCAAAGGAGGGGCTTTGGTTGTGGGGCTGTGAGGCCCAGGCTGACAGTCCTCCTGCAGCTGCCGTGAGCCCACCTGCGGTGGCTCAGATCCTGCTTTCCCTGCCAGCAAGGCCCATCCACTCACCTGCCCCACCCCCACCCCACCCAAGATGGTCACAGGGCCACAGGCTACCACAGGGCCCAGGACGGGGCACCAGTCCCTCCTGCGTCGGATCTGAGTGAGACCTGGATGCATCTCCCCATGGAAGTGGCCACAGTGTGGCCAGCCAGCATCCCCATGGCCCTGCTGCCTGCAGAGCCCCATGACTGTGGGTGTGCCTGGGTCTGCATGTGTGTATGCATGTGCATGTACAGACATGCTGTGTACAGAGCCCTGGTAGTGCAGGGGGTTAGGCCAGGGAGTGTTTCAAAGCCACCAGGTGTTCCACGGGGAAAGCTCAGGGGCTGCTTGGGAAAGGCTCATAGCTGGAGCCTCATGGGTATGAGGCCCTGTCTGTCTGCACACTACCTGCACGCTGCAGCGTCAACACCACAGCAGGGAGATGGGGGTGTGCATGTGTGCATGTCGACGTGTGTATGTGCAGGTAGAGGTGTGTACGTATGCACGCAGATATGTATTTTTGTATATGTGTCTGCATGTGTTTACACATTGATGTGCCTGTGTGTGCAATTGCATATGCATGTACATGTGTCTATGGGTAAGTATACGTATGTGTGCTTGTGTGTTTCCATACACGTGTGTGCATGTATCTGTGTACATGTGTATGGGTATGTATGTGGGTGTATACATGAGTATGTGCCTCTATAGGTGTTTGTGTCTATGTAGATATGTAAGCCTATATATGTGTCTGTGCGAACACATACATACACATATGTATCTCCACGTGCACAGGCCTGCATGCCTGCATGTATATGTGTGCATCTCTGTGGGTAAACATGTGCATGTAGATACATACACATGAACATTTACACGTGTGACACAAATACCAGTATACCTTGCACACATATGCATGTGTGCACCTACACATACATGTGTATGCACATGCATGTACTCGTATGTTCCTGTGTAAACACATGTGTGCCTGCCTCTCCGTGTGTGGCACTGCATGTGCATGAGGGTTCACGAGCATGTGTACATGTGTGAATGCATGTATGCACACCAACCCACATCATGTGTATGTGCACTTGCATGTGTGCTTGTGGGCATGTACACATGTAAATGTGTGCATTTCTGTGTTTGCGTGTACACATGTGTATCTGTGTTCTGAAGGGCAGTCATGAGGTGGGGCAGGGGCATTGGCAAGTCCCCCACTGACAGCACAGGGTGACCCCGTGGGCACAGGTACTGCAGGGACGATCCTTCTGTCTGCCCATCACTCCCTCTACCTGGTATTGCCAGGGAAGGAGGTAGAGGCAGGAGGCCTGGGCCAGCTGGGGACCACCGGCCACATCCAAAACCCCGGTCTCCAGGCTGTGTGCCCTTGAATGGCCCCACATGGGTGGGGGAGGAAGCTGGGGGGCAGTTCTTCTGTACAGGCTGTTCTCACTGCCGCCTCTTCCCAGATCTGAGGGCAGGAGGCCGGACCAGCAGGGCTGCCTCGCACCCCCCTTGGCTGCAGGAAGGGTCACAGGGGAAGTCATTAAAAACAGGAAGGGCCCTGGCCCAAAATACCTATTTCAGCAGGCTGCCACCGCACTTGCAGAGAACAATTTAGCTGGGAAGGGGTCCAGCTGGGAAGGCAGCACTGCCCGAGGTGGAAATTGAATCCTCAGGCTGACCCGGGCCTGGGGAACAGACCCGCCCTGGCTTCCAGCCCTGTCGGGTCTGAGCAGCCCCAGACCAAGGCAGGGCTTCCCAATTGCCTGCCCTCCAGAGTCTCCTGGTGTCCACTCACTTCCAGGGCCCTCCACTATCGGTCAGCCCCCCCACCCCCACCCCCACGTCCCCTCGCCCATGCTGACTGAGTGAGCTAGCTCTTCATTTGAAGCCGATTCAGGCTGATGACAGTGGAAAAGGAGCCAGAGAGAGGGACAGTGTGTCCTCTTTGCCTGAGCTTTCAGACCCTGCAGGGGCGCAGACCAGAGTGGCCCTAAGGACACACTACCTGCCCTGCCGGGGGTGGGGTGGGGTGGGGTGTCTGCTCTTCTGCCCCTCTGCCCCTCCCTCCCAGTGACAACCCTCTGCCCTTGAGACTGCTATGGACCCCAGCCCAAGGGAGCCCAACCAAACGAGCCCTGAGCCTGTGCCCTGTGCCTGTGCTCTGTGTCTGTGCCCTGTGTCCTATATCTGTGCCTGTGCTCTGTGTCTGAATCTGTGCCCTGTGCCTGTGCCTGTGCTCTGTGTCTGAATCTGTGCCCTGTGCCTGTGCCTGTGCTCTGTGTCTGTATCTGTGCCCTGTGCCTGTGCCTGTGC